ACAAATGAGACAATCTGGCTTAGCAAGAAGTGGTGAGGACACATGGGTACGTGCTGGAAAGCTGGTAACTCATGTTTTGCTATGATAAAACTTGATTAGGCTGTTAATTACAATGTGGGCAGAGCCTGTAGCTCTAGAGAAAATGGTTTAAAAAATTTAGAATGTTGGAGGGTGTTGACTGCTTCTTGCTGTTGTCAGCACAGTCCTGTAAAAATGAAAGACAGACTCAGAATGATCAGCCAGTGTGCAAACAGAGAGAAGGAGAAAACATGCTGAGCAAAAGAAGCCAGACACAGGAGGTCTCTCATATTGTGTGATTTCTTTTACATGAAATGTCCAGAATAGGCAAATCCATAGAAAGAGAAAGTAGATTTGTGGTTGCCAGGGGCTGGAGGAGGGGGAATGGGAGTGACTGCTTAATGGGCATGGGGTTTTATTTTGGGGTGATAAAGTGTTTTGGAGCTAGATGGTGGTGATTGTTGCCAACATTGGGGAGGTAAGAGAGAAAGCTCTGCTGAAGGAAAGTTTGATATGAGAGAGAGAGAAAGAAAGAGAGAAGGAGAGGCCATCTAGAATTTTTAGGCATATTAAGTATATTTGGATGAACTTGTTGGCTATGGTTATTTATCACAGATAGAACTGACCAGAAATCAATAGACTGAAAGTCTACTAACTTTTTGGAAAAAAACAATTATTGAAAAAATTACAAGCGTGGCTTCTGTCAAAAAGCCTATGATTGTTCAAATCCCACACACCTCTGGCTCTAAGTTGATACTGGCAGGAAGTAAACTTTGAGATCGGCACCCTCCTTCCTCAAGGTTCCATTTCTTATGTCCACCTAAAATGTATTTTTGGAGAAAAATGAGCAAGAAAGACCCTTACTGAGGCAAAGCAAGAAATCATGGAGGACAGTGGACAAAGAAACTTCTCCAAAGGAAAAGAGTGAAGCGGGAAAGTGGAACTTTCAATCTATCCTTAGCTTATCCAAATTTCCATCATGGCTAAATATGCACATCATGTCATAGTCAGAAATGCCTTGCATCCTGAGAAAACCACCCCAAAATTGCACCTTGTCTTTTCCTAAACTGTTCCATAGTTTTGCTTAACAGTCCTCAAATGGATTAAATATTGGGCCCTGTAGTAGGCAGCTTCTGACATTGCTGGCAAGAGTCCTCACCTCCTGGTAGTCACTTCCTTGTGTAACCTGCTCATCTTCAGTTTGGGCTGGACCTAGTGATTTACTTTTAATGCATAGAATATGGTGAAAGTGATGGGATGTCACTTCTGAGATCAGGTTACAAGAAGACTGTGACTTTTGCTGTCTCTGACTTGTCTCATTTGCCTTATTTTTCACACTCTGAGGATGTAACTTGCCATGTTGGAAAGGCCCATGTGGCCAACAGCCTGTGAGGAACTGAATCTTGCCATAACCTGGTGAGTAAGTCTGGAAGCAGAGCCTCCCCCAGTAGAGCTTTCAGATGAGACCAGAGCCCCAGCTGACATCTTGCCTTCAGCTTTGTGAGAGACCCTATGACAGAAGACTGAGGGATAATGTTATTTCAAGCCACTGAGTTTTGGGGTAATTTGTTACACAGCAATAGATAACTAATACAACCATATGTTGCTGACTCCTTAAAAGAAAACAGTATAGGGCACCTGGGTGGCTCAGTTGGTTAAGCGACTGCCTTCGGCTCAGGTCATGATCCTGGAACACCAGGATCGAGTCCCGCATCAGGCTCCCTGCTCAGAGAGGAGCCTGCTTCTCCCTCTAACCCTCCCCCCACTCATGTACTCTTTCTCTCTCTCTCATTCTCACTCTCTCAAAATAAATAAATAAATCTTAAAAAAAAAAGAAAACAGTATATTGCTGAAATTTTTGCAATGCTGATCCCTACATAAAACCACACTGAAGAACTGCTATTTTCTCCCACCAATTAGAATACTGAACAAAATAACCATACTTCTGTGGGATTAGTTTTTAAATATAGATCAAATATTAGTTCTGAGAGTTGGTTCTCTGAAGGTGAAATTCTCTTGTAAGTTAAAAAAAATTTTCAGCTTTCAAATTTATCCCTGAGTTTTTCTTTTTACCATTAAAAATTGAGATATAATTGACATATAACTAATGTAAGTTTAAGGGGTACAACATATTGGTTTGATATATTTATGTTGCAATGTGATTGGCTAACCAATTCGCATTGGCTAATCACTGTCACATCACAAAGTTATCATTTCTTCTAGTGGTGAGAACAGTGAAGATTTATTCTCTTAGCAAGTTTGATGTTTATAATATAGTTTTGTTTTCTGTCATTACTGTACTGTGTATTACATCTCCAAGCCTGATTTATCTAAAAGTTGTGAGCATGTGCCCTTAAACAACATCCCAAATTTTTCTTTTTTTTTTTTTTTAAAGATTTTATTTATTTATTTCAGAGAGAGAGAGAATGAGAGACAGAAAGCACGAGGGGGAAGGGGGTCAGAGGGAGAAGCAGACTCCCCGCCAAGCAGGGAGCCCGATGTGGGACTCGATCCCGGGACTCCAGGATCATGACCTGAGCCGAAGGCAGTCGCTTTAACCAACTGAGCCACCCAGGCGCCCCCAAATTTTTCTTGAAGAAAAGGAGCTTACTCTATTCCCAGAGAAAGAATTCTTTAATATTCTGCACAGAAGGATTTGTCATTTGCTAATGACCATGCGCTGCTCCGTGTCAACTCTTCTGCCCATTTCATAATGGGGGTTTTAAATCCCCACTCTCTTGTTTGAATCCCATCACTGTTTATTTGATGTGTATGGGGCAGATAATTTATGGTTTGGTTTGCTGACCACAAGACCATGAACCACTACATTTAGACCTAATGAAGAAAACTGTGCATTATCCAGAGGTCCTGGAGTTTGAGGTAGAAGTATTTATGGTGGCACTTGGGGTGTCACCCTACATGGAAAGAAGGATGGATTGAAAAACCACTCTCAACATCTTGTATTTCCTCCTGCGATTTGCTCAAGAATTTTTGGCTTCACAAACTCATAGAAGCAGAGAGTAGAATAATAGTTGCCAGGGACTGGGAAGAGGGGGACGTGGAGGAGATGTTGATCAAAGGATGCAAGCTTTTAGTTATGTAAGATGAGTAAGTTCTGGATATCTGATGCATAGCATTGCAATTATAATTAACTATTATACTGTATACTGGAAATTTTCAAAGAGGGTATATCTTAAGTGTTCTCACCACATACAAAAAACGAAGAAAATGGTAGCTAGTGTGGGGTGATGGATATGTTAATTAAATTGATTGTGATGATCATTTCACCATGTATACATATATCAAACATTAAGTGGTACTTGTTGAACATATGCAATTTTTATTTGTTGGTCATACTTCAATAAAGCTGTTAAAAGTTTTTTTTGACTTTGAAGATGACTCTGAGAAGCACTGAGTTTAGTCCAGAGTTTCTTAACCTTGACACAATTGACTATTTTCAGCCAAGTTATTATTTGTCATAGCGGGGGCTACCCTGGGCACTGCAGGATACTCAGCAGCATCCCCTAGCCCCTAGCCCCTATCCTTAGTTGTGATAACCAAAAATGCCTCCAGAAATTGACAAATATCCCTTGGTCGGGAGCAGAATCGCTTCTGGTTGAGAAACTGTTTTCATCCAACCTCTTTTGGATGAAAACTACTGTTTTAGTCCCCCCGCCTTTTTTTTAGGGATGATGTTTTTTATTCCCATTTTATTTTATAATTTATTTTATTTTTTGTTTCAAGTTTAATTTAAATTTTAGTTAACATATAGTGTAATATGGGTTTCAGGAGGAGAATTTAGTGATTCATCACTTACATACAACACCCAGTGCTCATCATAACAAGTGCATTCCTTAATACCATGGGACGATGACACCCACCTTTTGGTGTCACTGAGAGTCTTAAAAGGTGCTCATGATGTGACCTGGAGCAGCAGCCGAAATCTCAGCTCAGAGGCAATGGAGGGGATTATGCAATCACTGTTGGGGAATACTGGGTAAGCAGAGGTGACAAACTGGGGCTGTGTCAGCAAGGATGAAGGTGGCAGATTGCAACCCAGCGTGTAAGGTTTTGTGTGCAAAAGGAGTACTTGCATTCCTATGCAAAGTTTTGGGGCTTGATGAATGGACAAAGATGCAGAGAAAAGAAGAATTTCCAGCCCCAGGAAGAATCTGCAAGAGGCTCAAAAATCAACAGGGTGGTGGCAGCTCTGTGCCCTAAAGGATATATGAACTGCACCCACAGGTGCCCTTTCTCTTTGGCTTCAACCAATAGGGAACACTGGCCAATGGAGAGAGGAGAGTAGGGACATTTATTTCCCCAGCATCCACATGGCAGCACTGCAAGGCTGGCTGCTTTTGATTACCTTGTTCTTTCAGATTTAGGAGTGGCAAGTGTGGCTCTCCACAATTACCAGCACCTTGGTACTGTGCTATCCATTGAGGTTTTTTTCTACCTTGCCTACACCTTTGCAAATACAGTTGATTCTCATTATTTGTGGTAGTTATGTTCTATAACGTGTGTGTGTGTGTGTGTGTGTGTGTGTGTGTGTGTGTGTGTGTAATGTTAATAACGGCAGCCAGTGGGCTGGGAACCTGCATTCATCTAAAAGGGGAGGAGTGAGGGGAGCTTCAAGTTATGCTCCCAGTGCAGGCTTTAGATGCAGGGATTAAAATTTTAGCTCTTCTGCTTACTAGCTGTGTAACATTGGGCAGTCACCATTCTACACCATTACACAGTATCCTTATGACAAGCCTTTGAAGTGGGTGCTGTAATACTTTTCCATTTTACAGGTGAAGACACTGCGACCAGAGAGGGACAGTGACTTACCCAAGGCTACACTGTTGAAACTGGGGAGCTGGGATTTGAACCCCAGAAATCTGGAGCCCAGGTCCAGCCTGTTAACTCCCAGGATACACTGCCCATAACGTATTGTAGGGTAAATGATTGATATACAGTAGGTGCTTAATAAGTGGTAAGTATTGTCATTTTTAATTATAGTTCTAGAGGATGCTTCGAGGGAGGGTAGGTCAGGCGAGGGGGAGAGCCATTGAGCTGTAAGTCTCTGCTCAGCATGTCCAGCCAGAACTGGGCCGGAAGACTGGGGCAAGGGGCGAGTGTCACTTGGTGGCAGCATCCGACTCGACGCGCGACGTGCGCGGGTCCCAGTCTTTGACCAGGCGCTGCGCCTGCTCGTAGCACATGTGCGGGTGCCGCTGGCGAAGGCGCAGGCGCACTACATTGTAGTCCACTTCATACCCGATCTTCTTGCAGTTGAGGCTCGCGGTGAGGTTCTTGTGCGTAGCGAGCAGCTCCTTCAGGTTTTTTCCCACGTGCGAGATGTGGCGCTGCAGCTTGTCAGTGCCCTGGGGAGGGGGCGGGACCGTGCTGCGGGCCGGGCGAGCCGGAGCAAGGGCCGCGGGGCACTGTCCGGGGTGGCCTAACACGCCTGGGCCAGGTGTGTGTGTGTGTGAAAAGAGCATACCTTTAAGAAGGGACGGACCTCAGAAGGGGAGGGGCACACCTGGGCCACGTGTGCTTGCGGAAGGTCCCAGCCTGGGATGGAACACAGGAGGGAGCACAGGAGGAGAGGCGGGACTCGCAGAGATTGGGCGCAACACGCGCTTGAAAGAGAAGCTGCGACAAGACGGAACTGGGCGTGGGGCGCGGTACGCACCTGGAGAGTGAGGGATGGGGCGGACCTGGGATGTGGGAGAGCATCTGGGCGAGGAGTGCATGAAAGAGCTAGGTTGAAAGAGGGCCGTATCATGAGGGGGTGAGGAGGGTAGAAGTTGAGGGGACTTTTTTGAGACAGGTGTGGGTACCGGAGGGCCTCCTTCTGGACGGGAGTTGAAGGACTGGCAGACCTGGGTCAGGTGTACTTGAGGAAGCGGTGTTACCGGGGTGGGGCTGCGACTAGAGAGGGCGGGAAGGTGTGGAAGGGGCCACCGAGGGGCATACCTGGGCGAGGCTGGAGGCTTCGGGGAGTTGGGTGCCCACGTGTCTCTGATACACTCGAACCAGAGGTCTATCCAGTTTCTCTCGAGTCTCCAGGTGACGTTTTGACAGAGGACCCTGGTGGAGTGCGGTGTGCTGAGCAGTGAGGCCCAGGCTAGGCGAACAACCCCGGCCCCACCCCCTCACACTCTTGCGCCACAGCATACCTTGATGAGGCCACGAGTGATGTACATTTCCTGGTTGAATTTCGTGCACCGATGGATAGTTCCCCTCATTAGTCCTAAGGTCATATTCATTCTTTCCTGGGTGGGTGGGAGCACAGAGGGATCACACTGACTTCCGGGCTCCTCTGCTCCCGCGTCCCCATCTCCGTAGTCAGCTCTAGTCCACCCGAGCCTCCTGCCACCAACTAGGAGTCACGCCTGCCGCGCCCACCTTCAGCTCCAAGGTCTCACGCATCTTCTGCGCCAGCGAGGCGCACACGCGATCGCTTATCTCTTGTTGTTGCTCCTGGACGTCCTCCTCGTTCTTTGTCATTTCTAGCAAGGTGTCCTTGGACTCCATCAACAGTCGCTTGGCTTCGTACAGCGCCGTGGCGCACTCTGCGGGCGGGGTGGGGTCACCCGTGGAGACCGATCCTGGCTGTCTGAGTCTCCCTCTCTATTCTCAGGTTGTGTTGGCCCCTGGGCGAGGGGGTTTACTGAAGGACTTGGAGCAAGTCCAGGGGTGAGGCTGTTGGTGGAGTTGGTATAAGTAGTGTCCCGGATTGACAGAAGGAGTGCTTGCCCGCAGGAGTGTGGGAAGCAGGAGTGTGCAAGGGCAAGAGCTAATTAAGAACGTGGCTTCAGTGGAGATGGGCTCTCAGCCCTCTCACTTGGTCTGGGGGGGAGGAATTCCCCAGGGAAGGCAGTGGCTGAGAAGTGGAGGCCGAGTGGGCACCCAAGGGTACCTACAATAGTGGGCTCCTTTCTGTGGGGGCTTACCTGGGGTATAAGTGCCCACAGGGTCTGGGGGAGGCGTTTTCTGGCCCTGAGTGCGCAGGGAAGGGACGCGGGAGAGGTTCACCCAGGAGTGGCGGCCAGCCTGCTCCAGAACCTTATCCAGTGGCTGGTTCATTAAGTCCACAGCTTGGAGCCTCTCCTTACAGCAGAAGGCTAGAGTGTCGTGGCAGGACGCCAGGGCCTGGGGGCAAGGAAGCAGAGAGGGGCAGAGAAAAAGGCAGAGTGTGAGTGGGGAGATTGAGAGAGGTGGCTGGAAGCGATTTCTCTGCTGGGGGCTGCAAAACTTTTCCACCTCCAAACTGACCCTGTCCAGTTCTGGGTCCTGGCAGAAAGAATTGATTTCTAGGTGGAAGCTCAGACACTTCCCACACCCCTCCCCCTGTCCAGAAGCCTTCAATGATCCCTGGGTGGAGAGGGGAGGAGCAGAAGGGGCTGGTGGTAGCTTCCTTGTTCTGGGTGTCATTTTCCTTTGCATTCTGTGCCTGGCTTTGCTCTGGCACTGCAAGAAAACCCCCACCTCCCTTCAATTGTCCCACCTGTAAAGAGGAGAGGTGTAGGCTGAACTTACACCAATACTCTTCCTGTACCAGCCCTTTGCTCCTCAGCTGCATTCAGGACTGATCGCCTCCCCTAGCCTCAGGGTCTCTCCTCCTCTGCTCTTATTAGTATCAGGAGCCCTCTGTTGTCCTCAGAGTATCTCCCCCACCAACATCTATCTCATCTGAACTCCTACTCCCATCCAAACCCTACTTCCACCATTATAAAATGAAGCATATTGCATTTCTTTGATACTTGCAGTTATTTGAGTTATATTAAAACAAGTCTTTGTATATATATCCATATAAATCCATATATATATCCATATATTAAAACAAGTCTTTTGTGTGTGTATATATATCCATATATAAATGTATATATATTTATTATGTATTTATATATGGATATATATTATTATATATTTATATATTGTATATATTGTGTATTTACTTTTATGTATTTATATATTTATAATATATTATGTATTTATATATAATATATATATTTATGTATTTACATATATAAATATATATTATGTATTATACATATCTATGTATTACAAATACATAATATATAAATACATAATATATATGGACAATGTATAAATATATATATATCCATATACAAATACCACCCTCATCAAAATATAGGATATTTCCATCACCCCAAAAATATCCCTGGTGCCCCTTCTCTCCTCCCTACTAAGCTGCCTTGCAGATTAGTTTTGCCTGTACTTTAAGGTGTCCATAAACTGCGGCCTATGGACTGGCTGCCTCTTTTTGTAACTAAAGCTTTACTGGAATACCGCCATGCTCATTCATGTGCATATTGTCTCTGACTCTTTTGTGCTACACTGGCCTAATTGAGCAATTATAACAGAGACTGCATCTTGCACAAGGCCTAAAATATTTACTACCTGACTCTTCAAGAAAATGCTTTTGAAATCTAGAACGTCATATAAATGGAATCACACAGTGTGTATCCTATGTCTAGCATCTTTTGCTGAATATAATCTCTTTGAGATTCATCCATTTGAGTAAAAGTAGATTTTAAAAAGTCATTCATTCATTCATTCATTCACTCATTCAAATATTCATTAAGCCCCTCCTGTGTGCTGGGCAATGTACCAGGGAGTGGGGAATGCAGTGGGGAAAACTGATCCAGTTCCTGCCCAAAAGAAGTGATGGGGTCAATATGTGCAGAAAAGATGGGCTAGTGAGAGGATCAGAGAAATGGAGAATATCTGGAGGGGAGCATGGGATCCAGAGAGGTTATTTTTGGTGATAAAATAGACATAACAAAATTTGCCATTTTAACAATTTTAAGTGTAGAGTTCAGGGACATTAATGTTGTGCGCAACCACCACCACTATCCATTTCCAGAACTTTTTCATCATCCCAAACAGATCTGTACCCATTAGAGAATAATTCTCCATTTGTTCACTGGTGAGAATAATCCAATAATGATGGAAATATTGGTGATGCAGGAGAATGGGGAGAAGGTGGGTGCAGAGGTAGATGGAATTATGATATTGGCAGGGAATAATGAGAGAGGTTCCCTTTAGTGGCTTCCATGCATTGGGGTCATTCACTGAGAATGAGGAAAGCAGAGAGCTGGAGAGGTTTGAAGGAAGAGAAAGTATGAAATAACTTACCCAGTGGGACAACAAGCCTTCTAGAGACACATGGTAAGATCCTTGGGAAAGTTCTGAGTGCCAATTTGCATTCATGATCTCAAGTTGAAACACGTCTGTTTGGTTGTAAACATTTTTCTCCAGTGGCCATTCTCAGTTTCCATCTATGTCTGTTTTTTCCCCATTCCTCCATTCCCCTTTCTCTCTTGCAAGCCCTTCCGTACTGGGGCCACCCTCAGGGTCTTCTCCCTTGTCAGTTTCAGGCTTTCCTGAAGGATTTTTCAGGACTCACCAGATTTAAAGGAATATGACCGTGGCCTGGGGGTTTGGTGGGATGAGCACAAGGAAGGTTCAGAACCACGGACAGTGGTGCACCAGCTCCTAAATTTCCTCCTCCATCCTCACCCACTGCCCTGATCTGTCTCTTATTTGAATGTTCTTATTATGTGAAGTCTGTGAGGGCAAGGCCAGCTCTGTCCTCTTCACTACTTTGTCCCTAATGCCAAGCATGGTGCCCAGACACCAGGGTACTGGATTAATATTTGTCAAATAGATGAGTCAAAGGCACACACAGGTTGCCAGCTAACTTTAACCAGTTCCAAAGGCTCCATCAACTCTGGCCGCACTCTCATCTCTGTTAGCGCCCTCATAAAGAAATTCTTGTTGTAAGAGCGAAGGATGTAGTGACAGACCATCTCTGGCTGGAGCTGACAACAGTTGAGCACATATCACAGTGTAAAGAGCTAGGCTCAAGACCTGATCTGAATCATAAGGTAGTTCTGGCACTTCCTGGTATATATCCAAAGAAAATCAGGGTCTCAAAGAGATATCTGCACTCCATGTTCATTTCAGCATTATCCACAAGAGCCAAGACATGGAAACAATATAAGTGCCTTTTGACAGGTGAGTGGATAAAGAAAATGTGATATATATGCCATTATAATATTAATGTATTAATAATCAAAACACTGATATCTTAATATATTATAAAATAGTTATATATAATAAATAATATATTATTATAATATGTACTATTTTATACAATATATTGTATATTTATATATAATATCATATATAGAAATTATTTTATATATTTTATATCATAGAAACCATATAAATTTATAATAATAAATTATATAATTATAATATAAAATATAATATATAAAATATAATTATATTATATTTATATAAAAAATATATTATATGAGATATAATATATAAAATATAATTCTAATTAATATGTATTAAAAAGATACTTAATATATAACATACATTATATATTATACATGTTATGTATTATATTGCAGTATATAATATATATTAGTATATATAGAATACATTATATAGTACATATGTTATAATATACAGTATAAAGCATATAATATATTGTTATAGAATATATTAGTATATAATACGACATATGACTTTATAAATTATATAATAATAGATAATTAATATATGTGTTATAATATTAATTATTATGTAATTATATATTATGTATTATATTAATAATATAGAATAAGAATATATGATATATAATATATAATGTAAAACATATACAATAAAATACATACAATGGAATATTGTTCAGCCTTAAAAAAGGACATCTTGCCATTTGTGACAACAAAGATGAGCCTGGAGATTCATTATTATGCTAAGTGAAATAAGCCAGACGCAGAAAGATCTCACTTATATTTGGAACCTAAAATAGTCAAATCCAGAGCGCCAGAGTGTAGAATGGTGGTTGCCAGGGCCTGGGGCGGGGCAGGGAGAAATGGTGAGATGTTGGTCAAGGGGCACAAAGTTTTAGTTGTGCAACGATGATTAAGTTCTGGAGATCTAATGTAGAACGAAGTGACTGTAGATAACAGCACCATATTTTATAACTGAAATTTGCTAAGAGTTTGGATCTTAAGTGTTCTCACCACACACACATAAAGGTAACTATGTGATGTGATGGATATCTCAATTACTTCTTTATGGTGATTATTTCACAATGTATACATATATCAAATCATCAAGTTGTGTTAAATATATACAATTTTAAATGGTCAATTATACCTCAGTAAAGATGGAAAACAAAAAGACGCCTGAGCTGAAGCCACAGCCCTGCCATTGACTAGCCCTGTGCCTCTCTGTCTCAGTTTCCCCATCTCTAATGAGGGGATCATAGTTTCTGTTTCACAGGAGAGTTTTAAGAAGTGAACTCAGTGACTGCACAGGGCTTGGCACAGAAGGGGTGTTCGTTGTTATTTTGGGGCCCAACTCCATCTCCCAGAGCCTCAGTTTTCCCATTGCATAAAGTGGAAATACAGTGAGTGTCAGGGCAGGACGGACAGGGGTGTGGGTTGAGGGTTTGCTGTGGCTACAGTCCCCAAGGTTAGAGCAGTTCACCCATTCGGATCCACCTCCGCCCCTCCCAACTTGGCCCTAGGTATTCTCAACCTTGAGCAGGGCCTCTGATTTTTCCATATCTTTTTCCATCTTCCTCTTCATGCTCTTTAGCTCCTCCTTCTCCCAGGTAAGCATACTGTCAGCTTTGTCAGGGACCTAGAAAACAAGGAGAGAATCTCTCACACTTTCCAGAGGGGGCTGGAGGGAGACTTCTCCTTCCAGCGTAGTAGAGGGCTTGTTAACGTCATAAACTTTGGGTTTGGAGAATGGAGTTGGGGGTGCTCTCATCCTTTGGGGACCTCACTCTGAGGGGGCTCTCACTGGGGGGGAGGTCCTTTCCTTTAGAGAGTAGGGTTGGGGGCTTCTCCGCTTTATAGGTAGGAGTCCAGTGAGATGGGATGAAGGTGATTTAACTCGGGGGAAGGTTATTCTCATTCTCTGGGGCTGGGGGTCCCCCTTCCTTGGTGAGGGTCTTATCCTCCCTCCCTGGCCAGAAGTACAGGGGACTCATCATAGGGATGAGGAGGGGTTGCCTTTTTGGGTTCCTACTATCTGCATTTGGGGGCTGGGAGTAGGAATCCCACCTGGTGTGTGGGGGTTTCATTTCTCCTTAGAGAGGCTAAAATGTTCCCCACTTTTGGGGTGATGGTTTGCAGTTTCACTTTAGGGGGAGGATTTCACCAGGGCTGAGACTAGGGGTCTCACTCTTTTCTCTGGTGGGGACTTAGTTCTCAAGTGCAGGGGCTTGGAGTCTGAGGGTCTCAACTCGTAGGTAGGACCCGTTCTTTTCTGCCCCGGTTGAGGCCTGGGGAGGGGTTCTAACTTTCTGGGGCTGTAGGGGAGGACTTGGGGTTTAAAAAAAACATTTTGAGGAGGGGTGCCGGGGTGGCTCAGTAGGTTAAGTGCGGACTCTTGATTTCAGCTCAGGTCATGATCTCAAGGTCCTGAGATTGAGCCCCACATTGGGCTCCGTGCTCTGTGCCGGGTCTGTTTGTCCCTCTCTGTCCCCCTGCTTGCTCTCTCTCTCTCAAATAAAATCTTAAAAAAAAAAAAAAACCACACAAACATTTTGAGGAGGGTTTCATGGGTTGGAACCAGGACATCACCCACTCTCGTCAGCGGGGGGCTTTGGGTGTGTTTTCACTGGGATTGGGGCATTGAGGGTCTTAGGGAGGGTCTCACTTTCTGGGCCTGGGGGCTGGGTGGGTGATTTCATACCTGGGCTGAGGGCTGTGGTTGCCCTTTGGGAAGAATTTCATCTAGTCTGATTCAGAGTCCCACTTTCTCTCCTTGGTTGGGGGACTGGAATAGACACTCTCTTTGGGGCAAGGGGGCAGAGGATCTCATCCCCTCGGGAGGGTCTCACCCTCTGGGCTCGGAGTCGAGGCACCTCCTCTTGGGAGCGTCCTCATCTTGTGCCCTCACTCGATGGGAGCTGGGGCGTGGGGTGGAGGTGGGTGTTCTCTCTATGGGGAGGGGTTTTTCCCAGGCCGAGCATCCGGGAGCTGAGGCCTCGGTCTCTGGGAGGGCAGGGAGGATGGTCCCACCTTCTCAGCCTTGGGCCGGTAGCCCCGAAGCTTGCCGCTCTGCTGGTTAATGAGCAGGCCTTTGCGCACTTCGCTGAGCCTGCGGTCCGTAGCCTCCCGCTGGCGAAGCAGCAGCCGCAGCTGTCCATTGATCTGGTGCTGCGCGCGGCACAAGCGGGCGGCGGTGAGGCGCGCTCCGCGCGCGTGCGCGTGCACCACCTCTGCAGTCTGCAGGGCCCACGCATCGCGGTGCATGGGCAGCGGCAGGCGGGCGTGCCAGGCGGGGGGCTTCATCTTGCCCTTCCACAGCGTGACGCCCTCGCCCGGCGGCGGCTTCTCCAAGGTGCCACCGCCCTTGAGCATCTCCACGCGGAAACGCCAGGGCAGAATGTAGGCGGCGCGGCAGAGATGGCGCGCCACGTGCGGATCCCTCACGCTGTCCTTGGGTTGCCACATGGTCACTGCCTCCTGCCCGCAGCGGTCGGTCAGGTGGTGCGCCTTCTGCGTGATGGCCTTGGCTGCCTCGCGCCATGCTGGAGCCCCTATGCGGGTGTCCTGGCTACGCTCAGCTGCGGGTATCACCACGGGCATTGCCCCTGCTTGCTATCTCGGCCTGGCCCGGGGCCTCCACGGGGAGGAGCAGGGACTCCCAAAGACGCGCCAACTCCTCCCTGGCCTAAACAGTGAGTGAAATATCACCATGACAACGGTGGCAACAGCGCAGAAGAAGTTCCATGGGTGGGGGAGGGGAAAGGCTACAGAGAGGCGTGAACGGGGTCTTTGCTTTGGAACTTGGCCACGGTGGCTTGGAATCTTGGCTCCTTGAGGAAGCCGACCTCATTTAGCACATCTCTTTCTGTTGCTTCTTACCCCCAGCCACCCAGGCCTTCTTCCAGCTCTTGGACCACACTAAGCTTTTTCCCACCTCAGAGCCTCGCATTCATCGTTCCTTTTGGGTGGCATACTCCTTTCCAGGTCCTTTCCATGGCTGGCTCTTCTCCAATCTTCAGAACCCAACTTAAATATCACTATGTCAAAAGGCTCTTTCGTTAGTACTATCTCTAAGCCCAACTCTTCTTTCCCATCACTCAGGATTTGTTTGTGCAAACCACAGAAACAGAAAAGATGGCCTCACAGTGAGAATCACAGCCAAAAAATAAAGACAAGCAATGGCTCTTGAGAACATCATGGCTACTATTGTACAACTCTCAGCTGTGTTGTCTGTCTTGGAGGCTGCCACTGCAGCCACCCACAGAGCCGCTCTCTGTGGCACCTGCTTCTTTGCCTTTCTGGTCTAAGCTGGCTGCATCTAACTGGTTAAACCTGTGTCACATGGCCAAGCCCTAGCTGCAAGGGAAGCTGGGAAAGTGAGTCATGTCTCAACTTCCTGTTTCTATGGCAGGAAGGAGAACTTTATTTCCTACTGAGACTCATCTGATGTGGATTATTTTCAACATAGGAATGAGGTTAGAGTCTGAGGAAGAATAAAGAGAGGACTGCTCTCCATCCCTCTCCCATAAGTCTCCATCACATCACCTTATTTGTTTCTTTCTAGCAGTGGCATTTTTACTTGAGCATTTGGTAGGCACCTCAAACTCAACAGGTACCAATCCAAACTTTTGATTAATCTCCCTGATCTTTTCCTCCACTAGTATTGCTTGACTTGATAGTTGGCCCACCATCCACCCCAGTTGCTTATGTTAAAAAGCTTCCTTAATTTTTCATGTCTGCAGCCAACGCATTAACAAGATCTGCCAGCCCTACTTTTAAAATTTATCCCCAATATGATCATCCTTTTCTCCATTACTACCAACAACATTATTTTTTTCAAAGATTTTATTTATTTGAGAGACAGAGAGAGAGAGAGAGAGAGAGAGAGTGTGAGCATGGAGAGGGAGAGAAAGAAGCTCAAGCAGACTCTGCGCTGAGTGTGGAGCCAGACCTGTGGGCTTGAACTCACAACACTGAGATCATGACCTGAGCTGAAATCAAGAGTCAGACACTCAACCAGCTGAGCCACCCAGGTGTCCCAACAACCAACATTCTTATTCTTGCTCCCATCATCATGTCTCATTTACATGGTCTCTCTGCCTATATCTGCCCCCTCGCCTCCTCCAATTCATTCTCCACACCACAGCCAGCACTATGCTTTAAACTAGAGCACATCTTTCTCTTACCTAAAACACTTCAGTGAATTCCACTGTACTTAGAACAAAATCCAAACTCTTTACTCACAAGTCTCTGCATGATCTGGCTTTTCTCACTACCCTGAACTAACTCATCTTCTACCTCCCACCCCCAGGCCCACTCACTGTGCTCCAGCTTCCCTGGGTATCTTTGAATTCCTCTAACACATCATGCTAGTTCCTACCCCAGGACCTTTGCATTTGCTATTATCTTGTGTTCAGATCTCTTTCCGTTAAGATTTTCGCCTGGCTGGATTCTTGGTGTCCCTCAAGGAGGTCTCACCTCTTAGACAGGTATTCCTTGACTACTTACTCAAAAGTAGCTCTTTTAGTGTTACAGTTCCTTCATGTAGTGTCTTCACAGCACTCATTACTACCTGGAAGTCTCTTATCCATTGGTTTCCTTTTAATTTTTGATCTCCCCTTCCACCTCTCCTAGAAGGAAACTTGCTCTCAAGTGCCTAGCACAGCTCATGGCATATAGTAGCTTCTCAGTACACATGTGATGAAGGAATGGATGGTAATCACACGCTGTGATCATTTTATTTGTTTCCTTTCTTCTTTTAAGGATTTATTTGTTTATTTGAGAGAGAGAGAGCACAAGTCGGGGGAGGGACAGAGAGAATCCTCAAGCAGATTCCCTGCTGAGCATGGAGCTGGACGTGGGGCTGGATCCCAGGACCCTGAGATCATGGCCTGAGCCAAAACCAAGAGTCAGAAGCTTAACCACCTGAGCCCCAGGTGCTGCTCCGTTTTCTTTTTCTTTCTTTCTTTCTTTCTTTCTTTCTTTCTTTCTTTCTTTCTTTCTTTCTTT